ACTTAAAAACATATGTTTGTATCATTAATTGTACAACCTCATATTAATAATAATGTAAAATATTGAATATTTGTATTCTACCACTCCTCACCTGTCTAGACTTAAGTAGTCTATAAGTATGTATTAGGTTAAGTCTGCCTGAAATGCCTCAGCATGATAGTGGCTTTCTTTGTTCCGATCAAATTATGAAATGTAAACATACATTGTAACCTTAGCAGAGAAATAAAATTTTATTTTATAATATTTTATTTTATATAAGATGAGGAAAATTTAGGCCATCACTACATACAATTGCTATTACAGTACAGTGGAACCTCTACCTATGAGCACATCCACGTGCGAGTTTTTCCAAAAACGAGAAGTCGATGGGTTGATTTTTTGCTTTTACACGTGAGCAAAATTTCCATAAGTGAGCAGACCTCAAGGGAGGTTCCTTGACGCTGGTGAGGGGCTCTTGCTCTTGATCTAGGGAATTGTATCTCATTTGTTTGTTGGACTATCTTACTGAATCTTCGGCAAAAATGAAAGAATTCAGAGCATAATTAATGGAGTTGACTTCTCAGCAATTAGCCACCTCTTGGCGGTATTTTCGTATGGTTTTTATGGTTGTATTCTCGTTTTTTTGGTTTCATTTGACAGAATGGAAGATCTATTACAGAAATAGATATGATTTTGATTGCTTTCACGACGAAAAGTATACCTTGAAATTGAACTCAACGAGGGAGAAATGCTCGTTTGCTTGGCTATGTCCAGTATACAGTTGTGAATGGGTTGACATTATACAATTATTGCAATAAGGCATAACAGTAAATCTTATATTTTTTGTGTGAATAAAGATTACAAATTATTTATGTTGTAATAATTAATAATAATAATAATAATAATATGTATAATAATACATACATACAATAATAATTTATTTATTTTTTATTATCACACTGGCCGATTCCCACCAAGGCAGGGTGGCCCGAAAAAGAAAAACTTTCACCATCATTCACTCCATCACTGTCTTGCCAGAAGGGTGCTTTACACTACAGTTTTTAAACTGCAACATTAACTCCCCTCCTTCAGAGTGCAGGCACTGTACTTCCATCTCCAGGACTCAAATCCGGCCTGCCAGTTTCCCTGAACCCCTTCATAAATGTTGCTTTGCTCACACTTCAACAGCACGTCAAGTATTAAAAACATTTTTTTCTCCATTCACTCTATCAAACACGCTCACGCATGCCCGCTGGAAGTCCAAGCCCCTCGCACACAAAACCTCCTTTACCCCCTCCCTCCCAAACCCTTTTCCCAGGCTGACCCCTACCCCGCCTTTCCTTCCACTACAGACTGATACACTCTTGAAGTCTTCTGTTTCGCTCATTCTCTCTACATGTCCGAACCACCTCAACAACCCTTCTCAGCCCTCTGGACAACAGTTTTGGTATTCCTGCCCCCCTCCTAACTTCCAAACTATGAATTCTCTGCATTATATTCACACACACATTGCCCTCAGACATGACATCCACTGCCTCCAGCCTTCTCCTCACTGCAACATTCATCACCATGTTCACAAACCCTATAAGAAGCGTTGGTTTTAAAACTATACTCTCATACATTCCCCTCTTTGCCTCCAAGGACAAAGTTCTTTGTCTCCACAGACTCCTAAGTGCACCCTCACCCTTTTCCCTCATCAATTCTATTGATTTACCTCATCTTTTATTTGACCATCGCTGACACGTCCACTCCCAATATTGAATACATTCACCTCCTCCATACTCTCTCCCCCCAATCTGATATCCAATCTTTATCACCTAATCTTTGTGTTATCCTCATAACCTTACTCTTTCCCGTATTCACCTTTAATTTTCTTCTTTTGCACACCTACCAAATTCATCCACCAATCTCTGCAACTTTCTTCAGAATCTCCCAAGAGCAGTGTCATCAGCAAAGAGCAACTGTGACAACTCCCACTTTGTGTGTGATTCTTTATCTTTTAACTCCACGCCTCTTGCCAAGACCCTCGCATTTACTTCTCTTACAACCCCATCTATAAATATATTAAACAACCACGGTGACATCACACATCCTTGTCTAAGGCCTACTTTTACTGGGAAATTAATTTCCCTCTTCCTACATACTCTAACTTGAGGCTCACTATCCTTGTTAAAAAACTCTTCACTGCTTTCAGTAACCTACCTCCTACACCATACACCTGCAACTTCTGCCAATTGCCCCCCTATCCACCCTGTCATAGCCTTTTCCAAATCCATAAATGCCACAAAGACCTCTTTAGCCTTATCTAAATACTGTTCACTTATATGTTTCACTGTAAACACCTGGTCCACACACTCCCTACCTTTCTAAAGCCTCCTTGTTCATCTGCTATCCTATTCTCCGTCTTACTCTTAATTCTTTCAATAATAACTCTACCATACACTTACCAGGTATACTCAACAGACTTATCCCTTTATAATTTTTGCACTCTCTTTTATCCCCTTTGCCTTTATACAAGGAACTATGCATGCTCTCATGCCAATCCCTAGGTACCTTACCCTCTTCCATACATTTATTAAATAATTGCACCAACCACTCAAAACTATATCCCCACCTGCTTTTAACATTTCTATCTTTATCCCATCAATCCCGGCTGCCTTACCCCTTTCATTTTACCTACTGCCTCACGAACTTCCCCACACTCACAACTGGCTCTTCCTCACTCCTACAAGATGTTATTCCTCCTTGCCCTATACACAAAATCACAGTTCCCTATCTTCATCAACATTTAACAATTCCTCAAAATATTCACTCCATCTTTCCAATACCTCTAACTCTCCATTTAATAACTCTCCTCTCCTATTTTTAACTGACAAATCCATTTGTTCTCTAGGCTTTCTTAACTTGTTAATCTCACTCCAAAACTTTTTCTTATTTTCAACAAAATTTGTTGATAACATCTCACCCACTCTCTCATTTGCTCTCTTTTTACATTGCTTCATCATTCTCTTAACCTCTCTCTTTTTCTCCATATACTCTTCCCTTCTTGCATCACTTCTACTTTGGAAAAACTTCTCATATGCTAACTTTTTCTCCCTTACTACTCTCTTTACATCACCATTCCATCAATCACTCCTCTTCCCTCCCGCACCCACTTTCCTGTAACCACAAACTTCTGCTGAACACTCTAACACTACATTTTTAAACCTACCCCATACCTCTTCGACCCCATTGCCTATGCTCTCATTAGCCCATCTATCCTCCAATAGCTGTTTATATCTTACCCTAACTGCCTCCTCTTTTAGTTTATAAACCTTCACCTCTCTCTTCCCTGATGCTTCTATTCTCCTTGTATCCCATCTACCTTTTACTCTCAGTGTAGCTACAACTAGAAAGTGATCTGATATATCTGTGGCCCCTCTATAAACATGTACATCCTGAAGTCTACTCAACAGTCTTTTATCTACCAATACATAATCCAACAAACTACTGTCATTTTGCCCTACATCATATCTTGTATACTTATTTATCCTCTTTTTCTTAAAATATGTATTACCTATAACTCAACCCCTTTCTATACAAAGTTCAGTCAAAGGGCTCCCATTATCATTTACACCTGGCACCCAAACTTACCTACCACACCCTCTCTAAAAGTTTCTCCTACTTTAGCATTCAGGTCCCCTACCACAATTACTCTCTCACTTGGTTCAAAGGCTCCTATACATTCACTTAACATCTCCCAAAATCTCTCTCTCTCCTTTGCATTCCTCTCTTCTCCAGGTGCATACACGCTTATTATGACCCACTTCTCGCATCCAACCTTTACATTAATCACATAATTCTTGAATTTACACATTCATATTCTCTTTTCTCCTTCCATAACTGATCATTCAACATTACTGCTACCCCTTCCTTTGCTCTAACTCTCTCAGATACTCCAGATTTAATCCCATTTATTTCCCCCCACTGAAACTCCCCTACCCCCTTCAGCTTTGTTTCGCTTAGGGCCAGGACATCCATCTTCTTTTCATTCATAACATCAGCAATCATCTGTTTCTTGTCATCTGCACTACATCCATGCACATTCAAGCATCCTATAATAATAATCATAATAATAATAATAATAATAATAATAATAATATAATACGTGTAATAATGATACATATATAATAATAATGTACTACATAATAATTATAATAATAGATGGCTTCAAAAAGGCTGTCACTGGATAGCATTGTTTACCACAACAAAGAAGGAGCGGTTGTGGCTGCCTCCACCTGTTACATAATGACATGCTTAGTGCTTCTTTTTGATTATAAAAATAATAATGTATTCATTCTAGAGTATATATCAGGTTTCTATGTTCTTTATATTGTTTATTATTTCATATTAGATGAATTGTGATAGATAAATAAGCCATAGAGTTGATGATAGCAAAATATTCAAGGAGTGTTTTGTGCTGTCTCCAGACAAATTCTCGCCCACTGCCGACACCTCCCATACCACTACGTGAATTACATATTTTATTAATTTTGGAGTATATATCAGGTTTTTGTGTTATTTATTTTGTTTATTATGTCACATTAGATCAAGCGAGATAGGTAAATAAGCCGTAAAGTTGATATTAGCGAAATTATTGAAGTACAGAATTCTACTGGAACAGATTAATTGCATTTCAGTTAATTTAAATGAGAAAAATTGACTCTGCAAATAAGCAAATCCAGTTGCGAGCAAGGTCATGGAACGGATTAAACTCACAAGTAGAGGTTCCACTGTATTGGTATTTCTTAGAATTTTATTGCCATTTTTTTATGTCAGAGGAATGTAACCCTATTTTTTCCCCTTATATTCTTCAGCTCATTTTACATGATTTTTCAGTTAGATGCCATTATCTTGAACTAGACTACCATCTTAAATTTCTCATATGCACCTTGGCTCTGCAAGGTCTATGATAATTTTTTGTACGTCAGTTTAGTTTACCTTTCGTTGCATTAATTATGCTGAAATATGTATTGTTTCAGAAATGGGATACGATTAAGAGCTGCATGTCTTGGACTGGTTTACAAGAAACTGATGAGGATGTCAACACTTGGTAGCAGAAATGTTGGTGAAGTAAGTTGTCAGTGTTGATGGTAGCAGTAGTGTGTGCGTGCTTCTGTCTTATAAAGTGTGGGTGAAGTAAGTTGTCAGTGTTGATGGTAGCAGTAGTGTGTGTGTTTCTGTCTTATAAAGTGGGTGAAGTAAGTTGTCAGTGTTGATGGTAACAGTAGTGTGTGTTCTTCTGTCTTATAAAGTGTGGGTGAAGTAAGTTGTCAGTGTTGATGGTAACATCAATGTGTGTGCTTCTGTCTTATAAAGTGTTGGTGAAGTAAGTTGTCATTGTTGATGGTAACAGTAGTGTGTGTGCTTCTGTCTTATGAAGTTTGGATGAAGTAAGTTGTCAGTGTTGATGGTAACAGTAGTGTGTGTGCTTCTGTCTTATGAAGTTTGGGTGAAGTAAGTTGTCAGTGTTGATGGTAGCAGTAGTGTGTGTGCTTCTCTCTCATAAAGTGTTGGTGAAGTAAGTTGTATTCGTCAGGCTGTCTATTAACCCTTTCAGGGTTTCGGCCGTACTAGTACGGCTTACACACCAGGGATTTTGACGTACTAGTATGCCTAAATTCTAGCGCCCTCAAATCTAGTGAGAGAAAGCTGGTAGGCCTACATATGAAAGAATGGGTCTATGTGGTCAGTGTGCGTGGTATAAAAAAAATCCTGCAGCACACAGTGCGTAATGAGAAACAAAAAACTTTGACCGTGTTTTGGGATTAAAACAGCGACTTTGCACTGTATTTTTGTATGGTATTTATTGTTGTATTCTAGTTTTCCTGGTCTCATTTTATAGAATGGAAGACATATTACAGAAATTGAGATGATTTTGACTGGTTTTACAATGAAAAGTACCTTGAAATTGAGCTCAAAGCAGCAGAAATGTTTGATTTTTACCAATGTTCAAAAGTAAACATATCATACTATGTGTCCAATATACGTCAACTGGGGAGTCTAATATTCTTTCACAAGTGCACTGATATTATTTATGCCATTTATACACTAATGCAGTAGTCTGCATAACAGTAAATCTTCTATTTTTTTGTGAGAATAAAAATTCAAAGTGGAAAGCAAAAGAATATAAGAGGGGTATGGGGACGTGACTAATGAACAGAGGAAATGTTATTTTAGTGCCAGGAATGTCTTTCTTGTTTATTTTGGACCCTATTCAGAAATTGGCATGTTTTGAAATTTGTGTGAAATTGGCAAAATTGCTAAATTCTGACCACTGTATTGGATAGTTGAAATCAGTAAATGGGTGGTTTCTTGTACTCATTCGACAGAAAAAATGGAGTCCTAGTGAAATAGTTATGATTTTTGTCTACTAGTACACTGGAATTGGCCGAAAATAGGGCTCAAAGTGGGCAAAATTGCCGATGCGTAAACATTGTTGAGACCGCTAACTTTGCGAGAGCATAATTCCATAAGTTTTCCATCAAATTTCATACTTTTGGTGTCATTATGATCAGGAAGAGATTCTCTATCTTTTCACAAGAAATTTTTTTTTTTTTTTTTTTTTTTGAAATTTGGTGACCCTGAGAACAAGTCTCTGAGAGGGCCTGGCGACCCTGAAAGGGTTAATGACACAGCACTGTGTACACTAAAATTATTAGCTACTAGCTTTCATTTGCAGTGTTTTAGTTATTTTTCCTTCATCACGCTGTCATATATAAACATCATGTCATTATGATTGAAAAATTGTCACAACTCTTCAACCGTCATATAACGAAAATATTCTGAAAGACTGCACCGTAACAGTCATTCACTTACACTGATGTTGAATGTGTTAGTGATTGATAATAAAGTGTGGAAAGTATAATAAGTAAACAAAAAAGTTAAGGGATAATCTTGTGGCACTGCCATGATAAATATTTGAAGTTCTGAGCCACCATAGTATACACTGTTTATTTATAAATTGTTTATCATCACGGCAGTCTTAGGAACCAAACAAATGTGATTAAATTACTTGATTCCTGCATACCAGTCAATACATGTAGTGTTTTCATATCATTTGCATCATGAGGGGTGAAATGTGAGGGTACTGAAGATAATGTTTTTATACAAATTGAGAGGAACTCCAAGATTGTATATAAACTTTGCTTCCTTCTATTTGAATAATCAGTTACAATGAAACTAGATATAATGTAAATAGAGTACACCTACCATCCGACTTACGACCTGCTCAACATATGTCCACTCGACTTACGACCGTGCATTTGGCAGCTGGGTTGGGCCTGCTGATGCATACCTCTGTACGATATTTGATGATACTTACGGCGGCAGTGCGCCATGCAGGCAACATCAGTTTGAGTAACCCTGTCCTATCAGCAGCATCATACCATATTAACCGTACGAACTGGACAGTAAATTTCATCATGGTCCCTAAGAGGAAGTCTGAATTTTGCACTGGAGATTCGTACTCTCGAACTCTCTGTTTGTTTTCACTGTTGCACATAAACCTGTCTGTATCTGTCTGCCTGTATATCTGTGTCTGTCTGTATCTCTCTGTGTCTGTTTATCTGTCTGTCTACCTGTGTGTCTGTCTTTCTGTCTACCTGTGTGTCTGTCGTTCTGTCTACCTGTGTGTCTTTCTTTCTGTCTACCTGTGTCTGTCTTTCTGTCTACCTGTGTATTTGTCTTTCTGTCTACCTGTGTGTCGTTCTGTCTACCTGTGTGTCTTTCTTTCTGTCTACCTGTGTCTGTCTTTCTGTCTGCTTGTCCGTCTCAGAGCCGCTCATTAAGAGTGTAATTGGTCTTGAAGATGCCATGTTAATAATGATAATAACACAATGATAATCACTGAGGCGCATTAAATGTGTATAAAATGTTAATACAGTGGTCCCTCGTTTTTCGTAGTTCTCGGGAATCATAGATTTCGGAAATCATAGGGATATTTTTGTATAAACATGGGCTTGCTAATCATAGGTTGACTCGCGAATAGTAGTTCGTCCAGGACGCGTACGCATGGTGTGAGCCGGGGCGGCCTCCCTACCCAGCCAGTCTGGCATTGTTTACCAGTGAGCGAAGGTCCCCTCACATGCTCCTATGAAATATTTCATAATATTCCACTCATTTTAGTGCTTGCAAGTACTAAATAAGCTACCATAGCTCCAAACAAAGCTCCTAGTGCCAAGCCTGTGGTAAAGAAGGTGAGAAATACGATTGAATTTAAGAAAAACATCAGCAGGAACAGCAACAGATCGCAGCTCAGAATCTTGAACATTAAAATGGTATAAAATACCGACAGGTTGTTAGGTAAGACACATATGCAACAGTTAGGTATCTTTATTATGAAACGTTTCGCCTACACAGTAGGCTTCTTCAGTCAAGTACAGAAAAGTTGATAGAAGCAGAAGATACTTGAAGACGATGTAATCAGTCCATCACCCTTAAAGTTTTGAGGTGGTCAGTCCCTCAGTCTGGAGAAGAGCATTGTTCCATAGTATGAAACAATATGGAGATGAAGTGACAGAATGGAGCTTTTTATAGCGCCAAGAGGTGAGACGTAGGCCACTAGGAGAGGTAAAAAACTCAGATGTTGAAAGGTCAGGTCCCTCTCAAATCCAGCCGCTCTCACTAGAGGAAGTAGTCGAAGTTGATTGCAGTCTGTACCAAGATACCCTGTGTTGCAGTGTCTGACAGATTGAACATTAAAATGGTATAAAAATACCGACAGGTTGTTAGGTAAGACACATATGCAACAGTTAGTATCTTTATTATGAAACGTTTCGCCTACACAGTAGGCTTCTTCAGTCAAGTACAGAAAAGTTGATAGAAGCAGAAGATACTTGAAGACGATGTAATCAGTCCATCACCCTTAAAGTTTTGAGGTGGTCAGTCCCTCAGTCTGGAGAAGAGCATTGTTCCATAGTATGAAACAATATGGAGAAGAAGTGACAGGATGGAGCTTTTTATAGCGCCAAGAGGTGAGACGTAGGCCACTAGGAGAGGTAAGAACTCAGATGTTGAAAGGTCAGGTCCCTCTCAAATCCAGCCGCTCTCACTAGAGGAAGTAGTCGAAGTTGATTGCAGGTCTGTACCAAGATACCCTTGTGTTGCAGTGTCTGACAGATTGAACATTAAAATGGTATAAAATACCGACAGGTTGTTAGGTACGACACATATGCAACAGTTAGGTATCTTTATTATGAAACGTTTCGCCTACACAGTAGGCTTCTTCAGTCAAGTACAGAAAAGTTGATAGAAGCAGAAGATACTTGAAGGCGATGTAATCAGTCCATCACCCTTAAAGTTTTGAGGTGGTCAGTCCCTCAGTCTGGAGAAGAGCATTGTTCCATAGTATGAAACAATATGGAGATGAAGTGACAGAATGGAGCTTTTTATAGCGCCAAGAGGTGAGACGTAGGCCACTAGGAGAGGTAAGAACTCAGATGTTGAAAGGTCAGGTCCCTCTCAAATCCAGCCGCTCTCACTAGAGGAAGTAGTCGAAGTTGATTGCAGGTCTGTACCAAGATACCCTTGTGTTGCAGTGTCTGACAGATTGAACATTAAAATGGTACAGACCTGCAATCAACTTCGACTACTTCCTCTAGTGAGAGCGGCTGGATTTGAGAGGGACCTGACCTTTCAACATCTGAGTTCTTACCTCTCCTAGTGGCCTACGTCTCACCTCTTGGCGCTATAAAAAGCTCCATTCTGTCACTTCATCTCCATATTGTTTCATACTATGGAACAATGCTCTTCTCCAGACTGAGGGACTGACCACCTCAAAACTTTAAGGGTGATGGACTGATTACATCGTCTTCAAGTATCTTCTGCTTCTATCAACTTTTCTGTACTTGACTGAAGAAGCCTACTGTGTAGGCGAAACGTTTCATAATAAAGATACCTAACTGTTGCATATGTGTCTTACCTAACAGCTCAGAATCTTGCTGCAGAGGAGGAGGAAGAGAGATGGAAGAAGGTGCCTTCTTCAGAAATTAAAGAGAATTTTGCTATGTGGGGTAAGATGGAAAGCTTTATGGAGAAACATCACCCTGACAAGGTTGTTGCAAGCCATGTTG